TGACTTTCCTCAAACTTCACTATTGGGTTATTAGGATTATCTAATACAAATTGGATTTTCACAAATAACCAAAGCTTTCCATCCATTAAACATCTATAGAAAACGTTTGTTAGGGATGGATTCGCTGTAAGGTATGCCCTGGCATATTTTATTAGTTGACCTTTCCCTTCAGTTACTTTTGAACTATTACTTAAATCATTCTTGACTTCCCAACCTAAACCCTTTAATAAATCAGGTGGGTTTTCTGTCAATTCTCTGTAGAAATCGGAACGGCCAATTATGATATCAGGGAAAAAATTATCTCTCACTTGACCACCACCGTCTCCCAATACAAGTAAATTACTTAATCGCATCCCATTTAAGATTTCATTGATTTCACTCACAACATTCTTACAAAATGGTTGGGTTACATCAACTTCACTTGATCCTTGAGCGGAAGGATCATGGTTGTTAATAAATACATTGTCACCAGCCCCTCTTAGTGGGTTTATATCGGCAAAAAAAAAGTATGTTCACTCACGTTGACCAATATATTATGACTAGGTTGCTTTACGATAACGCGAATGTGTTTTTTGGGCAGGTTTGACGATAAGAAGCAGGAAAAAAAGCATAAGAATAAGTAAGTATTCAGTATTATTGGCGAATATAAAAGCGCATGCAAAAATAAAAGAAAGGCACAGGATTAAGTATTCAATTTTAATTGCAAATATAACATGGCGCTGAAAAGTCAAGGAATATACCAGAACTAGACTCCTTTGATAACTCCCTTAGGTATAAAAGACTGGTATTATTGTTTAGGCATGACACAAGACATTTCTCTATATTAGCCAAATTAGTTGTATCTTTGGTGAGATACTTAAATAAACAAGCCAATTCTTCATCGTCTAATTTGTTAGTTTCTGAAGCGAGACCGTTAACAATGTTAAGAATATTGGTCAGATCAGTTATATTAAACGATTTTTGCGTAAAAAAGAGTTTCACAAGTGGTTCGAAAAAGGTTTTTTTTACAGAAATAGGATATATATACTATATATATAAAATCCATTGTCACACAGATTGATCTGACTCATCAGCTAATCAGTTACGCACTGACTTAATACAGATATCTGTTACACCGAATTACAAAAATCATGCCTTACAATACTTTATATAAAAAAAGTGCTAAACTTTGAGATTGTGACTTAATGTCACAGTCGTATGTTTAGGGCGAGAAAAGGAGTTCCAGCGATTTCATGCTGATATCGGAAATAAGGTTAGCCAGTTAAATGATGCAAATACTAAGCTTACATCCCAAATTACTTATGAAAAGATGTCCTGTACTGAGCTTGAAGCCAAATATTCTGCTGAAATCAAATCGCTCAAATCCAATATTAAAACACTAAAGAGAGAGGCAACTTTGGCGCAG